CTCGTGTGCACGAGCAGCTGGATAGAACAGGTGGAATTTACGCAGCTCATTTACACACTTTTCCTGAAGATAGAAGAGTTTGTTGAATCTGACGTGACATGTTCGTACGAACCCTTCGTACGAACAAAAGTAAGAGAAATTTAGGATAAGAATACGAACATGTTCTTGCATGAGGCCCATTGTCATCTATTTGTGAAGTCCACCAGGAAGTCTCATTTAGATATTTACGTACTGTAATGCTAACGATTAGATTAAATATACAACCTATATAAGAAATTAAGTCATTGCAAAAATTTTCATAAGTTTATAAGTTTGTTAAGAGAAAGAGTTGTTATAACCTTAAAGGGACAGAAATATTAGTAAAACCCAAATTCAGAACTAGTTTGAAGGAACGGTGTACTTTAATTCAAGGAATAAAACTTTGGAATAACTTGGAGTGATGTAAAAACTGCAGGATCGTTGTGTACATTTAAGAAAATTATAAAAGTTGGATTGTTAAAGAAATATGAAACAGTATAAAGTGTTTCTATATAGAATGTTGTTCTAGAGGGATTTGATGTTCTTGTCTTTTGTTTTGTTAATAACAGATTGTTTTTGTAATATGAACTTATTCTTGGGAAAAAGGGGCAGATATATGTACGTATACATTTTCTCATTTTTCTTTTTATAATTTTCTTTTTGTTGTATATAAAGTTATTTGTTTTGTTTTAATGAAATGAATAAATTGAATTGAATTGAAGTCTAAAATGTTATAGTGTGACAGGGTCTTTAACTGCAAGTTCTTGTACACAAACTTTCATCACATTACATTAAAAAAAACTTGAGATGTTAAGTCTTGAAAGCAGGTTCATGCAGCCAGAATAGTTCTGGTTCAGTAACTTTGAATCCATCTACAACAAATGTGTAGTGTTCTTTTATAAATCCTCTTTCTTTAGAAGGATTCAACCTAAACTCAGAGAAATCTGGATATAACTGGTAAAAAAAAAAACTTCTTGAAGTATTTAAACAGAAGCCATTTACATGTCCCCACAGATTATTATGAGGTGAGACATAATGTTTCTTTAACTAAAGCTTAAACCAGAAAAACAAAATAATCTTTTTCCAAGAACCTGGAGAATAGCAATTATTTAAATATTAAAATAACTTTCATGGCTGAATATAAAGATTCACACCAATATCAGCTGACGTTTTGATTGCATGCTGCCACTTCAGTGCATAGTTAATATCTTTTCATAGTACCAATATCCATCCTGGACTGCAAATTAGATATATGCAATGCATTTTTTTTATTACTTTGGTATTTTAAGACACTTGAAAGCGGGGGATTGAATGAAGGAAACTTTAAGCTGTAGGACAAAACAAAGGTCTTTTTGTGTGCCAGGTTGATGAAAGCCAGTCTTAAAAAAACACCACTGGAGTGATATTTATGCTTACCTCTTTTTTCATATATATAATCCCCATTCTGTGTAATACATACCAAAAGGCTGAAGTATAGTCCTAACTAATTTAAATCACCAAAGGTAAAATCACAAGGAAGAAAAGGACGCACATAAATCCTCTTTTGATGAGGAATCAAAACTGTATGAGGAGACTTTACAGACAAATCTTGAGCTTAAGCTTTATTAAAAATTGGCTGTCCTCATTTTCCTTTTTGTCGGGTTTTTGTACAACATAATTATATAAAGCTCAAACTAAAACAGGTGTGTGATGTGGTGGTTTGAGAAGGGATGATCTTGTTCGTATTTATAGGAGAAAATAAAGTTTATCTCTGTGATGACGTGCTATCCGGGGGATATTTGAATCCAGGCTCCAAATAGACGTTTTGCAGTAACAGAGAAGAGAATCGATTTACAGTCGACTCCGTGTTTGTTCTGCAGAACCCGTCTCGTTTGTGTGACGCTCAGTTGCATCTCTTGCCATCTCAACCGCTTCAAAAATAAATCCTTCACAACTGCTTCTGAAATGAGCAACACTGTTTAAACTTTAGGACCGGAACAGAAGAAAACGTCTAATTGCCGTGAAGGAGATCTCATTTTCTTTACAATACATCCTGTTTGGTGTGTAGAAAATGTTGCATTTTGCAGCAAAAATATAAAAATCAAAAACGTGTACTGTACATGCTTACAGCCTCGCTCGATACGTTTCAAGCTGTGTAGCTGAATGGGATTGTTTGCAGAAAAGATGGATTGTGTAATGACATTTGAGTTCACAGAGATTTGCACCGAAAGGAGCTCTGGGCTTCAGCCTCAGGAAAGACAATCCAAACAAGTCAGCCTCTAAAATCACACCTAATGACTGATGATGTAACCATTACTCATCTTGTTTTCCGCGGGAATACTGGCACAAATTAGCCATAATTCCAGAAATCTATACAATGCTTTAAGCCCCATGCGTTGTCGGAGCACTGGCAATATCTTTGCAATTGCTTAATTTTTCCATTTCATCCTCAGTTCGCCTTAATCTGCGTAAGCCTCTGAGCTTGCTTTCAGAAAAGGTAATAAAACTTGCAAGGCTGTGTGCCTCAGTGCTACACAAAGACGTGCTGGAGGATTGATGGTGTGGGCTGATGAATAAACAGTTGTTACCTCCAAACATGTCCGTCCATCTCTCCTCCTCCCTCCCAGACAGTAACTACGCAGAGATTTAAAAGCCTACACTAAGACTGACTGAGCCCTGGTGAGCTCTCCTCTGCCAGAAAAATACATCTTTTGGGAAAATATCAGAAGAAAGATCTCAAATGGCAACAATGGTCGTCTGTGTTCTCCCACACAAAAGGGAGGAGGCAAGAAGCTGACAGGCTGGCCTGCTGGCTGTCTTCAGAGCAGAATGAGCGACTGCGCCCTGCTGTCATCCTTAGTCTGCTGCTGGTGGACAGACGATGGTGGGCTCGTCGGGACAGCCGCTAAGGTCAAATGTCACCGAGATGTAAAGGCAGCGTGACCTGAAAGCTGACAGCAACTTGGGCGGCATCAAGAAACAACACAGAGGAGAAGAATGTGCACCGAGTCCACGTTACAGACAAGATGTGGGATATGAGGCTGCAGGAAAATCAACCCCCAAACTAGAAACAGTTCAGATGTTAAAGTGCCTTTGGCATTAATTTTTTTTAAAATGACAGTGATAAAATATTGTAAAAAATAAATAAATAAAAATAACGCCACTGAGATGAACAACTGTTGAGATATTTGCTTGTGCAGCAACAGGAAGTGATGTCAAAGAGGAATGTCTGAATGCAAACGGCGTTGCTACAATAACTAACAAGAGACTAGAAGAATCTGATGTTATTATTTTGTCTCTATCAAAGAAATGAAGAAGAGTCAGAAATTAAAGGGCCAATATTATGTGTTTCTTAGGCATATATTCAAATACTATACCAATATAAAGTATCTATGTCACCTTTAGTTGTTATTAAAATGCTGTTTTTATTTTTAAATAGAAAATAAACTTATCTTCTCATCACTTCCTCTTCTAAACGCCTTGAAATTGGCCTCTGTCTCTTTAAGAACCTCCTTCTATTTGTTTGTTTGTTAAATAACATTGTTTCAATAAACAAAGACCAGAGAGTTCCCTTTTTTATAAAGTTCCCTTTTGATGTCACTTCCTGTTTCACTTTGACTGAGGCAGGTGCAAAAGAAAATATGCAGTTATGTGCATTATTAAAGGGGCAATATCATGTAAAATCAACTTTTTTGAGTTTTTTATCATGTTATAATGTTATACTCTCATAACAAACAGGCCCAAAGCCTTGCTCTGACTCTTTCATGCATGTTTGAGAAATCCTGCAGTGTTTTTAGGAAGACATGCTGAGGAGCAAAACGACAGGTGGGGACCAGAAACGCCCCTGGGACGTGTCTTTAAGCCGAACTTCCTCATGGCAGAGCGCACCCCCCCATCCCCACACACCCCGCCCATGACTCCAGCAGGCTCTCGGGTGAAACTGAAAGTGAAACTTAACTGTCTGCTGAGCTCTCAACATTAGTTCTCACTCAGTGAAGCTCTTTTCAGATTAAAAATACCTTTGAGGAAATGTATTTTCAGATGCCAAGTAAACTGCACCATAGCGCACGCGCAAACACCCACCCCCCCGCGCGCACACGAGCTCCCCGCGTGCGAACCCCCCCCTCCCCCCACCGAACGGGACAGAACAGAAGCAGAAGGAGGTTCTTAAAGAGACAGAGGCCAATTTCAAGGCGTTTAGAAGAGGAACTGATGAGAAGATAAGTTTATTTTCTATTTAAACATAAAAACAGCATTTTAATAACAACCAAAGGTGACATAGATACTTTATTATGGTATAGTATTTAAATATATGCCTGAGAAACACATAATATTACCCCTTTAAGTTTCCTAAATACAAAGCTGTTTTTTTTTTTTTTGTTGCTGTTTTGTATTTGAAGGACATGTATGTCATGGGCACTTTAAGATTAGTCTGATGCAGAGCACCGAACATTTTTCTTTCTTCATATTCAACATGAAAGGCATCAAACTTTTAATCCAAACACAATCATCTTTCTAATTACTCGACAAGAGTTAATTGCATTCTCCAAAACGTAATTGGTTTTCTGCAGGTATGTTTACGAGAAGGAAAGCTGGAATAAGTATCAGTGGGTCTGAATAATTTATGTTGCAGAGGATGATGAAGACGAAAAATAAAAAATAAAGAAAGTGAAGGACAACGCTTGAGCAGTAAATAATATAAACAGCAAAAGCTGCTCATCTCAGCAACAATGCAACTAGAACGTCACAATGTGGCTGAATCACAGCAAGATTCATTAAACCTGGAGGAGCAAAACGAAAATAAAATCTTAAACAGAAGACTTTAACGTGAAAAGATTCAAAGTGACTTTTGATTCAAAGCACGTTCTGAAGAGCGACACACAGAGATGGTAATGTGCACGAGTGCGTGGCTTTTCTCCGAGCGCACACCCCCGGTGTGTAACAAAATGATAGATGCTATTGGATTCGTTAAGCAGAGCGTTTCCCTGGCAACAGTGCCTTACCCCTCTCCTCCGACTTTGGTGATCTTGAGGCGAAAGTCCACAGAGTTGAGGTTGGGAGGCTTCCACTTGAGGATATCATCACACCTCCCAGCCTTGTATCTCTGCAGGAAGAGAAGGAAGATAAAAATACACATTAAACATCAAGCCTGTCAAAATGATGCACCGGGGAGGAGATGGCTGAAACATTTTTAGGTAAGAATTAACTAAAAACACTCAGAGAAATTGGTTTTATTATAAAATACAGTCAGTATTTAATGGATATTTGATAAAAAAATAATTTGCTAATGACAGATATATGGTAACATTGTTTTTTTTTTTAAATCAAGAACAAATCTAAATATACTTATGCACAATGAGTCAATGTTATTTATTTATTTTTTGTATCACAACTACGTTTCACACCGAGTATCTGTATGACACAACCCAAGCAACACGCTTCCCTCCGTTGCTTCGATTATTCATGCGGGCCTGACATTTCGAAGGACGTGAATCTCGTGCACCGAAACAGGAGGAATGTAAAGGAGTGACGGACGGGTGGAGGCGGGAACAGATGACCAAATTCTGTCACTGTCAGGTTGCCAGGGAACAGTAAGGAAATGTGTGGAGAACGGACAGGATTCCTCAGGAGAACCTGGACTGTCACAGTCCATGAATAAACGAGGAGGTCCTGACTCCGCCCACGCACACCCACAAATACAGGGCTATGGTCAGTTAAACGATTGAAGCTGGAGAAACACCAAAAAAACACACTTTTTTTAATGCAAAGCGTGATGTCTGAGTGTTCCAAAGCTGTTAGTGTGTTTTCATTTTTGCTACAGATTTTAAATTCTTTAGGTTGAGCCAAGAATTCCCAGAAGTTCTTCTTATTTTCTGCGTTTCCCTCATCTTTATTTTTAGATTTCTGATAGAACCTCAGGAGAAGTTCTGAACACTTAAAATGTGTTGTCCCAGTTTGTTAATCAAAAAATATGACAAATGAGGCAATGACACCTGAATTTATCTATGATTACACAATTCTGTAGATGTTCAATTAATCATGTATCAGGCAGTGCTCCAAGTATCATTAGATACTGTATATGTGCCATGATAATGCTATTCTATTCTATTCTATTCTATTCTATTCTATTCTATTCTATTCTATTCTATTCTATTCTATTCTATTCTATAAAACCAGAATCCAAAGTAACAACTACTTTTTGACTACTTAGCCAATTTATTAGATAAGCCACAGATTCAAAATGTCATTTTCTCCCGACTTTGTTAAATATGATCAATTATGAAACAAAACCAAACATTTTCAAAGACTTTTGGGACATTTAGGGCTGGGCGGTATGACCTCAAATTCAGATCACGGTAAAAATTGAATCCCATCACGGTAACGGTGTATATCGCTGTAGAAAATTATCATAAAAAGCAAAGATAATGTAATTTGTAGAGCATTTATTTTGCAGAAAACTGTAATCATAATCAAACCCAGCATTTTTGCTGCAGTGCAAATGAACATAACAGAAGTACAAAAGAATGTTTTATATATATTGCAAAACAGTTTCAACAACAAACAAAAACAGGTCTCAAATTTTCAACAATATAAAAATAAAGTGGATGTTATAACCAGTACTTCAAGTAAAATTAGTCATTTAGACAAAAAACATTGAAAGTTGATATAAGTTGCCTAAAATGTTATAGTGTGACAGGACCTTAAGATGCATAGTCCTGTCGTAAAATAATTTCAGATAACTGGAATGTAAGTGTGGTGAAGCCAAATAAATGTAATATCTGCCTGCCATACATGAGCTTCTGCCTGCTGAACTGACCCACTGCTGCTCTGCTGTGCGCTCATCTTCATCATCAAAGCAGAACTGTTACATTAGCAAGATGGATTTATGACTGAACGAACATCCACATCTTTTTATCATCTCTGTGGGTAACAAAACATAAAAACAAGTTTTTTTCTCTGACAACTCGGGTGTAAAAAACTATGGTTGTTAAAGCTTCGCTCTGCGCGACGTGCAGCAGGAGGGAGGAGGAAATAATCCCACGACACGACGTAACTTTTCTACAGCGAGAGGGGGGATTTTGAGGATTTATTCTCTCTGTAAGTGTTTTAAAATGTTATATTTCTTCATTTATTTTCATTATTATTTCATTTCTCAGGTGTCTCTGCACTCTCAGCCATGCTGACACAGGTGYGATGACGTAACTGACGACAGGACGGTAGAGGGTCAATTTCTACCGTAGGCCAACTTCATATTGTTTCTACCGTCTATGGCAAATACTGCGCAGACCTACAGTATATTTAAATAAACACCACACAAAGACAACAAAACAAATCAATAAAAAACTGCTCAAGTAGTGGTGATACTGTTTACAACCCAGCAACAATGAGCCGCATTTGTTTCTAAACCACGGAAACGTAACATTTTAAAATTTGCTGTTAATATTACAATAAAATTAAATATGCATAAATCCACTCAGAGCAACAAACATTTCTAAGCTTCAAATTTTTACATGCATCCCTAAAATTGTTAAAACGTTCACTATATTTTCTGAAATGTTGAAACTGCGTGGTGCGACTGATGGCACCCAGAGCATGCATGAGCCTGAGGAGGCATTCAGAGGTATTCAGGATTGTTCCCTAGCCTGCATGCTGAAATATGTACGCCATCCGTTTTAAACCAAACTGATATTTGCTGTGAATGGAGCCAGAGGAGCCATGGCAACAACTCTACGAAAACCCAATCAGGCTGCAGGTAGAACAAGCGTACAACCTTCAAATTCATTTCCACGTGAAAATGTGCCGCCTGATGCACTTGTGCTTTCATAACTATTGTCGGTCTAGTCAATAAGTGAGTGAGGAAAAAAAAAAGCTTTATTACTGAAGTGCAAAAGAGTGTGTCTGGCTCGACCTTGTCGTCAGGAACATATCTACCGTCTATCAAATTCATTTTCATGTAATGATGAACCATTCCACATGAATTACCTGCTGTTTTCAGGGTAGAAATTCAGAGGCTGTGGCTGTCAGAGTGGAAAACAAACAGATCAACACAGTGCCAAGGCAAACATGTGCTTCAGTGATGTATAGTGTTTAAAAGGAGAGAAAAACACACATACAACATCCGACACATCTGTCAGGCTACATAAAAAAAAAATCTAAACTTTATGCCAACAAAGTAAAACAAGTAGAAATCTGATTTTGAATTTATCTGCTTTGTGGTTACTGAATAACTCTTTATAAAGTCTAAGAAAATGGAACTGGTTTCAGAATCAAAACACTTGGTTAATCCCAGGGGGGACTGGGTTTGTTACAATAGCTCCAGCAACACTTTAAAGATAAGTAATAATTAGAGCTAAAAGTCCTAGAGAAAGAATAATCACAAGTTTGAGATCCCGTCGTATTTGTATGTACAGAATGAATTCATAAAGTTTGCTTTGCTCTTTTTGTCAAATTTACATATTTCACAGAGCAATCTGTTTAACTTTAGCTAAACAAAGCCATTTCTACATTACTGAATAATAAAAATACCTTACTCTGTCAGCAGGCTCTGCTTCTTATTCAAACATCTAACAGTAACAGAGCTCACATGTCCAACTGTCTTCAGGAAACAATGACAGCTAACTACAAAAGCCATGAAAAGAAAGTTGCAACATTTTCATGAACTCTGCATTTCTAGATCCTGTTGAAAAGCGATAAAAAAATACTTGACTGTGCAACCTTTCAAAAAATAAATAAATAAAAAGCAGCGGGACGTTGAGTGCAGGAGCTTATCTAAGCTGACTTTGCAGTTGAACTTTCAAGATTTAAACTTTGTGACTTTAAACAGCGACTGTCTTTAAAAAGCTCATTGCAGCTCTTTGCGAAAAGAGAACGTCTGAAAAATTGCAATGCAGACAAAATTAAACTGCAGTTGTTGGAAGTTATATTCATTTCTATAATAGGGACAAAAACAGCTTTAGGTGTGTTATTGTGGTAAAGATACAACTGAGATGCATTTTATTGCTTGGCTTCTCTGCTTTGTTTCCACTGCAGATGTTATTACTTTAACATGGACGGGATAAGCTGCTCATCATAACTTCCCTGTGTGTAAAGTGGTCATTGAACTGTCTGACATTGTGTCTGTCTGTGAATGGGCAAGTGTTTTACATCTTTTCAGAGACGAATCAACCGTGTGTGGCAAAGCTCACCTCTAATCTCGTTTCTCCACAAACCCTGGTTTTGAATTTAAAATTCATGCACATATACGACATCCTCACACCCACATAGGGCACCTATGTCTTACATTATGGTATTCATGGACACTTCTGTAAATGTGTGAAGATTTTCTGAACACTGCATGCCCAACATAGATGCAGATTGTACAAGCTGCCATGTGGGGAGCAAAAAAAAAAACAAAAAAAAAAAACGCTCTAAGGTGTTTGAATTATAAAACAGAAACAAGGTGTATACAAGTAAAATATCAATAAGTGCTTAAAATCTAATGAAGAAGTGTTGCTGTTTTTCAAGTCACCATCCTGTTGACCATTAAAGGTTTTTAGCTTCAACTGTCAGGAAAATTGATGAACATGTGAAGAAACCCTCCATCAAACTAATTTAGCTGAAACACAGGCTTCACACAGACAAAGTGGTGTGGTTGTTTGAAGAGCTACAATTAGGGAGATCTTGAACAAAAATGAGCTTCACAGTTGAGCTGCCAGAGGGGAAAAAAAAGCCATTACAACAAAACAGCATGCTAAAAATATGCCAAACAGCAACTAGATCAGTCCAGAAACTATTGGAACGACGTCAGGTTTGAAGTGTTGAGACCAAAATTAAACTTCATGCTGAAAACCAAGTCCCAGTATGAAGCGTGGAGGTGGATCTCTGATTTTTAGTCAGAACTGATGAATACAGTACGTTATCAAACCATATTAAAGGGGGAGGGGGTGTATTAGTTAAAATCAACCTCTTTTTTTTATCTTCATATCATAATGTCATTCTCCCATTAAAAATGTACCCAGAGTTCATGCATGTTGGAGAAATCCTTGAATCTCCTGTAGCCATGTGGAGCTGCCTAAACGCTTACTGGCACAACGCTCCGCCTATTTATCCAAAGCTCCTCCCTGT